ACACTTCCAAAATCATACTTAATGGGGTCTATTCATAATGATGAGCTATTTTTACTAAATAAGAAACATTATGTCTATAAAGAGTCATTGCAAAGCACCAATACCAAGATGTGTGTCTGTGCATGTATCTGGTACTACAAATGTTATTGAATCTGGTATTTAAATTTTTTTTTACTCTATGAAGAACATTTTTGGTACCAGTGAGAAAATTTTTTGCTGTATATTCTATACAGAATGAAGATTTTTGCAAATGTAAGAATGTAAAATGTTTTATTTGAGAGCTGGGTTTAGAGGTAATGTTTGGGTTAGGGGAACAAATGTCCAATTTGTGCTGTATGAAAGTCACTATGTTCATGACAAAAACACCTCCATCTTTATTCCTATATATGTTATGATTTTTGTGCTGTACAAACTGTATATTATATCCCCAACCCAAAACCCAGCCCTCAGTGTAATCTAAATGTTCAAAATGATTCATTTTGTGTGACTTATATGTCAGTAAAAGGTACAAATTTAGTAGTCTGGCTATACTTGCAAGGACATTTGTCCCCGACAACATAAAAAAATACAAGGTGCATAAACACACACAAACACACTTTGTATCGTGTGTGTGCGTGCACGCAGGCTCATATATGAGTCAGCCTGCTCACGTATCTGAGGATTTGAGCTCGACTGAACCCTGCAGCTCATCTTTAATAGTGTCAGATCATTTGTTGTTTTGCCCCAAGTGCTTGTCACACGCATTCTCAGTCACATACATGCCTATCGTGCATCATGAGCACATGATTCAGAAATGTCCTTCTCTGGGCTTGATTTTCCCTGGGTCAACTCCTTTCCCACAGTTTTGAGCAACATTAACCTTCCACCTTTGCAAAAACAAGCACAGCCCATAAATGTGCTGATTACTGCTCGCTGTCTGCATAAAAGTCCTCTCAGGGAAAATAATAACACTCAGGCTAAGTAAAGCTGGCACGAGCTCTGAGTAGGTCAATGAAGCGACCAATTTTGTCCAAAAAATGTGCTTGTACTTCACAGGTTCTAAACTCTCACAGACACCTTGTTTACCAAACTGAAATTCAATGCTTTCATTGCATGTGTCTCTGCAAGCATAACTTAATATACCTGAGAACAAGCATGAGGAGGGTGCTTACTTGTTAGGCCTTTAAGAAACACACAGGCATATGCTCAAGACTCCAAATTTCTTAAATCCTAGATGCCAAGTTTAGTGATGCTCAAATGACTGTCCATATGGAGCACCTGCACCAGTGTGGTCAGAGCTGGCAGCCTCGTTGCTTCTTGGGAGAGAATTTTCAACAAAAAGGACACTTGGAAATATTCAACTTTTCCAATAGTAGCCTCAGGAATTTTAGTGCAAAAATGGGTATTATTAATAAAGTTAAGTATTCTTAAAATTATGTTTCTGCTGAGAAAAGTGGAAAATATTATTTAATTAAAATGAAGGACACTGTTTTATACAAAAAAAAAAAAAAAAAATATATATATATATATATATATATTAAAAGGACATTTCATGCAGATAAAATGTGTATGTGTATTTCACAAATCAGTATTGACTGCTCTGCCAAATAGTTGACTGTACTATTTACAGTTTTAAATAATGACTGTCAAAGTCATTTAAAACTGTTTTAAACAATGGTTTATACACACAGCATTGTTGCTCTACAAAAAAATCAAACAAACATAATTCAAAAACAAGATTCTTGTTAAGTGAGAATCTGAAATATTTTATGGCACTGAAAAAAATAAAGATGATTTAGTGTTCAAAAATGCTTTATTTTGATAATTTAAAAAAAAAAGTCTTACACTTCATATTTTCTGATTTTTATTAGTTCCGACATGATTAAACAGACATTTCAACCATTTGGTAGAGGTTGATATATTAGAAATTATGGGATGAGTTAAAAAATGCATTGAGTGTGTTAACTAGCGAAATTAGGAGATAAGAAATGCTATCCAACAAACAGTTAGAGGGTGTACGTAATGATGATTTATATACAAAAATGGCTTCATGTACACAAGGTTATTGTTTAATACTGGATATTAAGAATTTAATTTAACTAAGAGTTTATTTGCAAAAACAAGTAACTCTATTTTGCAATTTTCAGATATCAAGAGTACAATTGAAAAAAAAAAAGGAAAAAAAAACATGATTCACTGAAACCACTAAAACATGACTATTTATTTTGTAATTTTGATATATATATATATATATATATATATATATATATATATATATATATTAGTTATTTGCTTTTGAAAAATGAACTCTTTATTTATATACAGAGAAAACCTATTAAATGCAAGTAAAATACATTAACCATTGTAAATTAACTTTAAAAAAATAAAATGTCAACATAGCATATAAAACTTTACTACAATGACAGCTAATTATTACAGTATATATTGGGGCTGTACTGTGATTCAGAAATAGAGCATGACGTTTATTTTATTATTATTATTTTTTTTTTGAATGACATTTTTTCTGGCTGTCTGGTTCTGTGATAACCATTATTTTTTTTCACCTTAGATTTTTTTTAAGTTGTATTAGACCTTTATCCATTATTGCTTAAATGATTAAACCCATCTTTATATTTCTGTTTTAATCTCACAGAAGTCCCTATGTTAATTAATAGTAAAAGCTCATAAGATTAATATTTATTCAGTCGGAGGTGAACATCTCACTCTTAAATGAAACAGCAATTCCTAGTTATGCACTACATATAGGCCTAATCATCACAGTTTAAGCAAAAAAATGAAGATATTTCTATAAAGTGTAAATGTTCTCCTGAACATTACTCCTCGTCAAAAAGAACATTGTATTCCATTATACACATCTATGCTGGATGCTTTTATAGATCGATAGTATTTTTACCGGACACCAAGTGCCTCTCGAATTTCCTCATTTGCGTGTCAGCATTTTCTTATAAGCTGATTATGTTACAATGCTGATGTGCTCTATTTATCATTTCAAGTGGGTAATTGTTATGTAACATCTATAGAAATAGATGGCGAGGCCTACATTCTGCAGAGACAAGGATGGTGGCACCCAGCAGAGGGCGCTGTTGATTAATCAAGCTGTTAGTTTTAATGACTGATGCTCTTGAGTCTGGATTACAGCTGACATCCAACACATCTGCCTCCGTCTCAAGAGTTTTTTTTTCCGTCAAGATGTTATTTTGTAAATGAATTAAGTGACACTCCATTAGCAAAATGCTTTTGTTTACATCATTCGTGTACAAAGGTAAGCAAAAATGTACTTAAAATCAAACACTTCTTGATACGTATAGCGTTAATTTACATGTAACTTATACAGAATATGCTAACGTCTTAGCCTTAAAACAACAACAAACAACCAATTACAACGTTCTTTGGGGGTTTAATAGGCCTACTTAAAACAACTAACCTCGGGGCATAATGGGTTAGCATTATCCATATTTCAACATGATAGATGATTTTTCTCTTCAAAGTTCAAAGTTTGTTTGGACCCTTAGCCTAAATCAATTTATTTTGCTCTTCTAAATACGCGGGTGTATTTTGTCAGATGCATTTAGCATTGTTTTTGTGCTTCTTTTGACTGTTTAAACCTCATTTATGTCAGTCAGCAGTTGAACCACTGACACATTCACAGTCGCCCCAACAGACGCTCCAAAAGCCGCTTAAATACGGTTCATTATACGTGCGAGGCCAGTTGTTTGTGTGAAGCCTCTCATTATGACTATAGAGGTCTTTATTTATGTTTATTTCAACTGCCATGCCATCAAGTCTAGTTATGCTTTATGCAAACAAACATGCGTGGATGTATGTTGATGATTTTAATTCCATGCGTCTGTGATAAATGCACATAATAAGTGTGTGTGTGTGTGTGTGTGTGTGTGTGTGTGTGTGTGTGTGTGGAGTGACTCACGCTCTTCCAGCGAGGCACACAGCATATGAGCAGTTCAGCAATCTGTCATTCACAGGCTCCCCCTCACTGTCGTGTGTGTGTGTGTGTGTGTGTGTGTGTGTGTGTGTGTGTGTGTGTGTGTGTGTGTGTGTGTGTGTGTGTGTGTGTGTGTGTGTGTGTGTGTGTGTGTGTGTGTGTGTGTGTGTGAGAGAGGGAGAATTAATGAATGTAAAAAAACGTAAATTTTTTTTGGAAAAGAGTGAAAGAAAGATTATTATATGTACAGTTGAAGTCTTCATTATTAGCCCCCTGTTTATTTTTTCCCAAATTTCTGTTTAACGGAGAGAAGATTTTTTTTAACACATTTTTTTTAATAGCTCATTTCTATTAACTGATTTATTTTATCTTCGCCATGATGACAGTAAATAATATTTGATAGATATTTTTCAAGACACTTCTATAAAGCTTAAAGTGACATTTAAAGGCTTAACTAGGTTAATTAGGGTAAGTAGGTTAAAGTATTTAGGCAAGTTATTGTATAACGATAGTTTGCTCTGTAGACTATTGGAAAAAATATTGATTAAAGGGGCTAATAATTTTGACCTTAAAATGTAAATCTGCTTTTATTCTAGCTGAAATAAAACAAATAAGACTTTCTCCAGAAGAAAAAATTTTATCAGACATAATGTGAAAATTTCCTTGATCTGTTAAACATCATTTGGGAAACTATTAAAAAGGGGAAAAAATTCAAAGTGGGGCTAATAATTCAGACTTCAACTGTATATTGTAATTTACATAACAATATCACAATGCACATCATGTCTTTATAACAATGTTCACATTTTAAATGTATTAATAAATGAATATGTTATATATGCAGCTCTTATTTTATGAACCATAGTGGAAGCAAACAGTTCCTCATAATATTCATATTCACCCAAAGGCGTTCAAAAGAGAGCCAAACAAGATGATCCAGACTTTTCTTTTTCTTTATGTTGGATTACTAAAATCCCTCTGTTTTGTGGCTGTTTGCAGTCCAGTGAATCCCCTTTCTTCCTGTCATTCCAGTTTACATTTCATTCCAGCATCCTCTGAGATGCGGCCAATTCAATTAAAATTCCAGATTATAAGTCGAAAGGGAGTCGATGCTGATTTTTGCCCGAGCCAGGCTCATTGTTCGGACACCTGCGAGTATGCACAGCGAGGAATGGAGATGAAACAAAAGGTGAGACAAAAGCGGAAGGACATGGCATGACGTAAGAGCGGATAGCCGTACGATATAGCCTCCTTGCATAATAGAAATCACAAAGTAGCTGGAGGTAGAGCGACCCCGGGGGCTTTTGGAGCTGGTGGGTGTCGTGTTTGAGGAAGTGATGTGAAAACAGGGGAAGCTGAGGATCTGGTGTGGGTGTGAGATGTGAATAGAGCTCTGGAGAGTCAGGCTGACAGACAGACCCTTTGTTTCTATTGATTGGCAGCCACTTGTTTGTCACTGCTTGTTGGAGATGAGTTGTTCTCCCCACTCTGGTGCTGAAAACCAGTTGCCAAAGTCGCGTTTTTTTTTTCTAAGTGACTCACTCATGCACACCCTTAGAAATCGTTATTAAAGGCTGCGTGATTGAAAGCTCATACCCGGCGAGAGACAGAGTCATAAGGCTTAATCACAGTTTAGAGGACATCTTTGTGGAAATTGTCATTGGCATTGACACTTTTTCTGCTTGGAAATAAATCCATCGTTTTCTTGGCTTTGTATTCAGATAGGGGCTCGTGAATGTTGGGAGAGCTGCTGGTAATTTACAGGCACAATGCGCCATCTCCTTTGCTTTTTCTCCTTCTGATCCTCTCTCTCTCTTTCTCTCTATCTGCACTTCCTTCGGTTTCTTCCAGTCATTCCCCAAGCGCAGCATCTGTCTGCCAACGCTATCTCATTTGCACATTTTTTCTTTTCAAATATCTCTGTGTTCATCCTCCTAGGTTATGCAATCAAGCTTGTTACCTAGAATAGGGAACCGAGAAGTGAGTTTCATTTATTAAAATAAAAAAAAAAAAACACACACAAATACTGTATGATTGCCATAATGTTCATTTCCATTAACAGTTCTTGAATGTCTGCATTCGTCTTGTGATGAGGTTGTGTTCCTGAATCTACAGCTATATGCAAATACAAATAATGTTGACATTTGAGTAATCATAGTGGATTGAATGCGATGAGAAAGAAAGGCGACACAATTATGCACAGATAATAAATAGGCATGAAAAGTCAGCAATAAAAAAGGCTAAAGCCACAGACGTATACAGTAGATGCCTCATTAGTGGCTGTTTCTATGGGCGGATGTACATAAGCCATCTGCTACCAACGGTCAGTGCCAGTTCATGAAGGCTTGAGAGCAAGTTGACTTTGTGTGCAACCATAGTTTTGAATATTTATATGTGCAATAGGCTTCAGCAAATTGGAACACAGTGAAACAAAAAGGTATTAGCTTACACAACATTAAAATGTGCCATAGTTCAGGATCATGTATATTGAGCTAATATATATTATAATAAAACATAAACCAATTTATTCTTACCTGTGAAAGATTATATAATTTAGTATTATTTTTTTATCAGAGGTTATTTAAATTTGTGGCAAATTAGAAATCATGTGATATAGAAAAACGTGTGATGACATATCGACTCTTGCAAGATGTCAAATTTGGAGTAGCTTATTATGGCATCAATTTGTACACATCTGGGGTATGCGCACTTTTAAAAAAAATCAACCAATGATTATTATTATTTTATAAAATATGGACAATTCCAATTGTTTTATTAATATTTTGTAACAAGGTTTCATTAGTTAATATATTTACTAACATGAACTAATTATGAACAATACTTGTACAGCATTTATTAATTGTAGTACAACATTTACTAATGCATTAATAAAATTAAAATTCCTGCTTGTTAACATTAGTTATTGTACTGTGATTTCGACTTCATTTTAATTAAAGGTGCTGTATGTAAGTTTTTGACTCCTCTAAAGCATAAAAATACCCTAATATATTTGCAGATATATAAGAAACATGCCACGTGAGCATTCCTGTTTATCTGAAAAACAATGCTAAGGTCAGATATTCTGCTTTAAAAATGTGAGTTACGTGCGGAATGCTGCCTTTGTTTTGGTTCTTTTACCCGCCCAATGCCACTTTAGCCAATTATGTTTCAGCTCTTGGGGTTCCTTGTTTGAAAAACGCATATTTCATTCATTCAGAATGGCTCACAAAGTATGCGTCCGTGACTGAAATGCGACCTCTGGTGGACAGTAGCAGACGACAAAATGAGACGCAGATTCAGAGTTCGACATGAGGCTATTAATTAGCAAATAATCGAAATATTACGTGCGTAAACATACAACATGCTACGTCACAAGATTTGCAGTGATAAGCAATTTGGCTGTTTGCACCAGACAAAACATGACAGAAATTTAAATATAACCATTCAGAAGCACAGAATATGCACTAACTCACGAAATAGTAAGGTTTATAATTATATTAATACATATTAAACCTATTTAACATTACTAAATGTACATACTGAATCACTGATATGTGTTGGTTTGCATTATTTCAGTTCTAAAGTTCAATTTCAAAAGGGTTTATTTTATTTTAAAGATCTGAGGTCAATAAATGTAATGCAAAATGGCATTCAAACATTATTAGCATTTATCAATGAATAAAGCACATGAGGTTTACCTGAGTTGATCATTATAAGTTTTCTGTTGTTCAGCTGCAAGAAATAGAAGTCGTTTCTAATATATCGATTTAAGGTGTTGGCTAGAAGAAAAACTCTTTTTAATATGGAAAATATTCCTTCTATTGCATGCCGTTGCTTTTATTTAGAGCACGATTTAAATCAGCCTTTAAGTTTAAACGTCAGACCCGCTCCTCAATCTGGCAATCGTTTGTAACTTTAAAAAATAATAACGATTTATTTTAAGATTCTACACGTGTGGACAAACAGAAACAAAATGTCATGTCTCGCAGGACCATGGTATTACTACATAAATTAATCATAAATACAAACACAACACTGGATATAAGAGCTATATAAAAAACTAAGCATAACTAACATATACCATAAAATACTTAACTATACACAAAAGACAGCCTATAAAAGTACTTCTTTTACATGAGACTGAGACTGAACATTGTTGTGCAGGATATTGTGCAAGAGAGGTATTAAAGGTGAATATTGTGTATTTAATGTTTAATTAACAGGATTTAGTGAATTTTTTAATTCATTGAAAGACTATGCAGTATTATTTTACATTTGATTATTCAAAGACTGTATGCCTGAATGCATTTGGACTCTTTGGAAAACAATAAAATACTGTTAATTTAATTTGCATATTTTTCTTTATTGAATGTATTTATGCTTGTAGATTGTTTGCTCCATTTCATGCACTCCCCTACAGAATCATTTCAATCTAAAATTATAATTTCTTTTCAAACTGTTTTTCAACTTATCTAGTGAAATGGTGTTTATATCATAAATATCGCAGAATAAAAAGATATCAATGTGTAATTTTTCCAATATTATACAGCCTTAGTATATGGACAATTACTGCACTTTTTTCTACTGAAACACACAATAGTCTACCTAAAAACATTCTGTCATTGCTTTGTGGCCCCAGTAGGATTTGACAAGAGGTAGGTCATAGTCACAGAACCTGCTGCTCATAATGAACTGGTCAAAAAGAAGTGAGCTGTCAGTTTGAATTAGTCTAATGACTCACTCACTAACTGAATCGATCACTGGACCACAACTCGAAATGAACCTGAAACACCTACTATGCTGTGCATGCTTAAGACTTCGTACACTTAAAACGTTAGTTCACCCAAAAATGTAAATTATGTTATTAATTAATTACCCTCTTGTCCTTTCAATCCCCTGAGACCTTCATTTGTCCTCATAAAATTAAGATATTTTAGATGAAATCTAAATTAACGCTCGCTCATTCAATTCAATTCAATTCAGCTTTATTTGTATAGCGCTTTTACAATGTAGATTGTGTCAAAGCAGCTTCACATAAATGGTCATAGTAACTGGAACAGTGTGGTTCAGGTTTTAGTGTTTAAGTTCAGTTCAGTTCAGTTTAGCTCTGTTCAGTGTGATTTAATCATTACTGAGAGTTCAAACACTGAAGAGCAAATTCATCGATGCGTAGCTCTACCAATCCTGAACCATGCGAGGCAGTGGCGACAGCGGAGAGGGAAAAAAAACTTCACCTGATGGGAGTGAAGAAAAAAAACCTTGAGAGAACCAGACTCAGTTGGGCACGACCATTTTAATTTCTCCGCTGGCCAAAAGTCTTGTGCAGAACTTCATTCGCCGTGGTTTATGCTGGAAGATGGCCTCAATGAAGACTCGTCTGTCCCTGGAGCGTCGCTGGAATCAGACTCATGTTCTCCACTCCCCACGACCATCAGCGCAGCAGCAGCTCAGGATATGGCCTGGTCCCGGATATGGAATCCTTGGGATCATCACGTCGCTGGTCTTGGATCCAATCAGTGACTCCGCCTAATCTGAGGACCTCGGGATGAGTATCCCCAGGTGAAAATAGAGAATAAAGAGAATAATTAGCGTAGCTGCTGTTCATAGTGTATATAAGCAAGATGTAGAAGCCAGTGTGGAACCCGCTAGGTGATGCATTGAGTGTATGCTTTACTAAACAGATAGGTCTTTAATCTAGTTTTGAACTGGGAGAGTGTGTCTGAGCCTCGGACATTACCAGGAAGGCTATTCCAGAGTGTAGGAGCCATGAAAGAGAAGGCTCGACCTCCTTTACCTCCTTCATTGTCCAAAGACAGCAATGTTGGATATCATTTTTTTCCGGAATATGTCCCACACTGTAACCTCTTTTATTTTCATCTGAAATGTGCAAGTTATATAATGCCATTAACATCATGCAAGTCAAGCACCCGTAATGTGTTGAATGAGAGTATTTGTAAAGCTCATTTCCCACACTCAGCTTTAAATAAATTATTTTAGGCTTGATGGTTATGATATACATTGTTTATAGTCAATGTCACTTACATTTCTGTAGGTTTTATACTTACTATTAAACGTAAGTGATTTTTTTGTTGAGTGAAGGAAACTAAAATACATGTTACTAATGTTTGTAAAGGTTTCATTTTATCAAAGCTAGCGTAGGCCATTTTTTCCAGAAACATTTTTTGTTATACTGGTTGAAAGTGTTTTCACAACCTAATAGCAATCAATAATTCATCTTCTATGGTTCTGTGGAAGGCGCAGCCATAAAATGTTTGTCCAATCATTTCATTTGGCCTAAATACAGTAATGGAATGTCTTACCTGTTTGTCAGCATTTGTAGTTGCACACCTTCATGTGCTTTACTCTCATAGACATTCACACATCATCAGCACATCCCTTGATGCTGTTCAGACTAAATGAGAATAGAAGGTAAACAGTGAACTCCATTGCAGCTTTCGATGGCCATTGTGGCCATGTGACTGACATATATAAAGCAACCGATGACAGTGTCATTATTTTATCAGCATCATGAAAATGTAATGTTGATCTTTCTGCAATATCAGACCAGCGTGTGTAACATCAATGCTGTAAATTACACATACAGCACTTTTAAAAACCAGGCGGTCAGTTATGATGACAAGTGCTAATTGTCACAGCTGTAAATATGACCGCTTTCTTTTATTTTTAAATAATGCAATTATAACACGGTGTGTCTTAAGCCTAAAGTACAGTATACTGCTTTTTAAGCATACACTCACATTTGATTGCACAGCCTTTCAAAAATAATTTTACTCACACTTCCACAGGGCTCCAAAAAATAGAATGAGCATGTGAGGCCTGCACATAATGTACAGTGCAATAGTGTACAGTACAGCACAATAAAGTAAAAGGCCTGTAAACTGCACAGTGTACAGTACAATACTGTAAATGTGCATTTACAAAAATCCAGCAGTGCTTGTACAGTACTAATGATGAATTTCACGTTATGCACACTATTCACGGACCTTCATAAACATGTAATAAGTGAAGTATACTTTGGAATTTATGGTCTTTTGGTCAGATGCAACTAACTATGTAGTTATGCTGACTTTCACGTACACATTAAAAGTGATGTATACTTTGAGCTTTATACCCGATTCACATGGGGCTTTAGCATCAACACTTGATGAAAGTCTGAAGTTGGGGCTGACGCGATTGTCATATCAGCACCAGCCAATGAAATTAATCTGCAATCGGCTACTGTCTGAGCTGGGCTATTTGCATAAAGCAATCTGATTGGCTGACGCTTCCGTTGGTGTTTGAAAAGTTGAGAACATCAGAGTGACGCTGATGGATCCACAATTCAGTTCAGCAATGCTTGACGTCACCCATTCAAAGTAAATAGGAAGTACTGCTAACGTGAATCAGGTGTTATTTTGAAGCACTTTGGGTCAGCAATTATGTTTGTAGTTGGGGCTGTTTCCTCTACAAAAAATGTGAGAAATTGTTATGTACTGTAACTGAAAACATTCATTTGAAAATTGAGCCAGAATCATGATATGTCATACAATCTTTCATCTTATGTGTAGTATCAGTAATGTTCAGTCTCATTCAGGCATTTTATTGATTCAGGTTTCATTCAAGTTTCAGATGTTTACTGCATAGTCTTACGCAATAAACATAAAACTGTGTTGCTCCCTTTTCTTACTTACATTTTTAGTTCTTACCAAAGGCACCCCTATAATAATAACCCGCGACAGTACAATAGTGGCAGACTAAACCATTAACAACAAACAGGGGGGCAGATCAACAATTGTCACATAAACTAAACTTATCAACATACGTTTATAGTACTGTACGTGTATTTGAGCTCTCTATGAATAAATTATCCTGCAGGCACAGGATGTCAACATGACTGCATATTGATGTTGTAAACCAATGTACCCCAACGTCAAGGGGACGTAGGATTTTCTTGTCGTCAGAACCCAACATCAGGCCGACGTCAATGTCCAATGTCCAACCTAAAAATGTACCTAAAATCAACCAAATATCAACGTCTCATCATGTTGCACCTTGATGTTGCGTGGACATTACCACTATGACATCTATCAGACTTTGGATTTTAGTCACTTTCCAACACAACCTAAAATAACAACATCATTTGACGTCATTATTGAACACCAAAATAACGTTGTCATTGATCAGCTGATGTTGTGACCTAAATCTAATCTATTATTAATGTCTTATATTGTTGTGTGCCTGCTGGGTATAATAGACTCTTAAATCGTGCTTGCAATAAATCAAACTCTCCTCTGTCTTTTTCTTTTGTGTTTCAGAGATCTCTGTGAGTCTGCTCTCCGTCATCGTAACTTTCTGTGGCATCGTGCTGCTCTCTGTCTCTCTCTTCGTCTCCTGGAAGCTATGCTGGTTGCCTTGGAGAGATAAGGAAGGCGGGGGTCTGAGCTTGACGTCGGGTCTCCTGCCCGGTGGTGCGGGTTTGGGTGGGGTCGGAGGCGGAGGGGGTGCCTCGCTCCTTCCTCCCCTTTTACAGAGGAAAGATACTCACTCTTCTTCCTCGTTGTATCCCACGCTGTCACAGCAGGGTCAGCATCACCCCCATTTCTCCGACGTGATGGGGGTCGAGGGTGGAGGGGGGCTGGTGGTAGGGGGTGTGGTTGGGGGTCCGCAGGAGATGCAGGAGCACTCCTACCTGGACATGGACTCTTATCCCAACAATGCTGGTAAGCAGATCTCTGCTTTGCATCAAACTCAGAAGCAATACTTTTACTTTTTGCGAGACCTAAGAGACAGTGATCATTGTTAATTATGCTCCATTCTCTTAACTACACTCCTTTCATCTTTTCTATGGCTCTTGCTTTCAGCAACTCTTAAGTTAAGCCAGACATCGCCCGAGTTGCCCCCGGCAACAGAAGGAGGCTCAGCTGCGAAAGACCTGCCCAATGCCCACTCCCAGCAGCAGGTCACCACCAGGTCAGTGACCTTCTCTTCTTGTTCCTGTCTGTGCTTGTGTGTGTATGTGTGTGTGTGTTGCTGGATGATGGAGTGAGTTTGTGGCTTGGGACTAGCTGTATGTGCAGGATGAAGTTAAATTGTGTTATAAATATAGGATGTAAAAGGTTCTATAGCATATCGTATCGCATACTGTAGGTCTCAAAGTCAATTCCTGGAGGGCTGCAGTTCTGCACAGTTTTGTTCCAACCCTATTCTAAATTTTGCTGATCCAACTAATTAAGGTGTTCCAGTGTAGTCTTGAACACCTTGATTAGTTGGGTTAGGTGTGGCTAATTAGGACTGGAGTAAAACTATGCAGAGTTGCTGTCTGAGACCTTTAGCTGCGTGTACTTATGCACTCACACACTCAACAGCGTAGTATATGTATGTCATTCTAAATGAAACACTAAAGTTTTTTTTTTTTACTAAGCTTAAATTCAAACCATTTCCCTGATGATTTTGATGATTGCCAAATTAGTGAAATAAATGACCAAAGTACCAAAGAATACCTGCCATATTATGCAGTATAACCACATTCACCATCATGAGGTGGTATAATCACCCTCGTTAGAGAATTTTGCTTTCACAATCCAAAATAAATAATAAAATCCAACATAAGTGCCCAAAAGCTCTGCCCCTTCCGCTATGTGAGCAAAGCTGCGATCGTGTGAAGTGTTATTCCACACTTCATTTTAACGGTTGAATAAGTACAATATACGGGTAATTAAAGTGCACTTATTATTTTTAGAGTTTTCAGTGTGAATGCACTATTTACACATGGCGTAAAATAGTGCATAAGTATGTGATTTGGGACGCACCTTATGTTATATTGTATATTTTAGGATTTAAGTGTATTATAAATTTTTTTTAAAGTTTAATGTATTCCAGTGTTGAAAAGGCAAGGTAAGTTTATTATATAGCATATTTCATACACAATGGTAATTCAAAGTGCTTTTTATAAACAAAAATAAAAGAAACAAGTAAATAAAGATGATTCAAAATAAAACCTTTATATATATAAACATAATAAAAACATTAAAATGTTTTAAAAACAGAATAAAAGAGGTTATAAAAGAATGAAAAAGAAAAAAAGACATAGTAGTGCAATCTGTGGGATGTAGCACAGTGCTATTCAGTAAAGCAGTGTTAAATAGATGTGTGTACAGTCTTGATTAAAATGTGCCTAATGTTGGAGCACATCTGATCATTTCTGGAAGCTGATTTCAGCAATGGGTGTAGTAGCTGAAGGCCGAGTCACCCTGCTTTGACTGAATTTCCAGTTTACTTGATCTGATCTAATGATTTGAGTGATCTGTTAGGTTTGTATTCAGTGAGCATATCTGTAATGTATTGAGGTCCTAGACCATTCAGTGATTTATAGACAAGTAATAATACTTTAAAAACTATTCTGAATGTAACCAGAAGCCAGTGTAAAGACCCGAGGACAGGTGTGATGTGCTCTGATTTTCTGGTTCTGGTCAGAATTCTGGCAGCAGCGTTCTGGATGAGCTGCAACTGTCTGACTGTCTTTTTGGGAAGGACAGTGAGGAGTCCATTACAGTAATCCATCCTGCTGGTGATAAAAGCATGAACAAGTTTCTCTAAGCCCTTACTGGAAACAAAGCATCTAATTCTGGCAATGTTTTTGAGATGATCGTATGCTGATTGGCTTACTGCTTTTTCATGATTGCTGAAATTCAGATCTGACTTTAGAATCACACCAAGATTTTTTGTTGGCTCGTTTTTAAGGCTCATTTTAGCTGTCAGTTTTTCAGTTAGTGTATTCAGTTTCAGATGACTTGATATTCAAGAAACAATTTTTCTATTAATGTCAATGTTGTAAACAGTTGTGCTGCTTAAGATATTTGTTGAAACAATCATACTATTTTTCAAGTCTCTTTGCATAAGAGAATAGCATTTGCATGAAATAGAAGTTATTTTTAACAAATGTCTTCACTTTTCATATATTTAATGAATCCAGATAAAAAGCAATACTTAACTTAATGCTCTGCCAATAGTGTAAAAAAAAGAAAATCAAGCATGAGAGTCTAAAAACGCTTTTGTATGAGGACTACTTTCTTTCGCCATTATTACATCTGCAGCTGACGTCAAAACAGCAGAAACCGCTGCTACTTCACTAACGTCATTTTAGAGCAAGTGTTTGAATGATTCTGTCAAAAATGATGACAAAACATGTGATTTTGCTGACATTTTAAGATTATAAAGCTCTACATTTCTCTGTTGCAATTGGGAGATCACAATAATTACCCAAAAAAAAGCCAAAACAGCGCAAGCACTACCAGATTATTGTTGTATTTGCGATAAGGAAAAATGCTAAACACATGCAAGCATTTATTCTTTCTTTCTTTTTACTGAACTAGCCTACGGTAATGTAAACAGGAAAGACATTAGAAACAAACAGATGGCCAACCAAAAAGTAACTCTGGGTTAGACAAAGAATGGCCAACACAAAATACATCGATTTCTGATACTGTATGCGAGTCCCATCTCGCACTTAAAACACTACAATTATATGGTATAAATACAGCACTACAACATACAAAAGAGAGAGTTCGGCTTAGAATGTCACTTACCTGTTTAATAATGATTTGATCAGCTGTACTTAGAAGCTAGATGAGTGTTATTTGCAGAAAATCGAACGACTACCAGACGATCAGATTCAACAACCAGACAGAAGTGTTGTATAGATTTGTTTAAAATAAAACTGAATTGAATGTTTATTATTTATATAGCATTGTGAATATGCTTGCAGAAGATATTTAATTCAACAGCATCACGTCTAGAGAGGCTGTGTAAACGAGTGTAACTTGTGTGACGTGTGTGTAAACATCAAATACTTCACATAGGTACCACATGGGTACTACAATGAAATTAGGGAAAGTCTTGTTTTTTTATATTTTGTTACAGTCGAATCACACATTAGCAATACAAAACATTCTTTGAGCAAAATGAGATGTTATTTGTGAGATTCCTTTTACCAGCCATTGTGTTTGTCAGTTTATGTGTGTGTGTGAGTGTGTTCACCTTCTGGTCTCTCTCCAGGCCAAAGCCCATGACTCACCAGCTCTCCAGCCCTGATTTCCATGGTGAGGAGAAGAGCGAGCAGTTGACCAGCATTGGGCAGATCAAGCCAGAACTTTACCGCCTGCGCCAAGGAGACCAGGGGGACGGCAAACAAGGCAACAACTGTGGCAAAATCAGCTTCCTCTTGCGATACGCCTTCAAGTGAGTCCACTCAGATCCATGATCCATTGTCACACAATGAGGATCCGTGCCTCTCAATACATCAGTCGGGTTATAAATAGATTTCATCGGCAGGGCTCACAATTGAAAAGGCGAGCTGGAGAACGCAGCAGGGGAGTTGTAGTCAGCACAATGAGTTATAGTCAGGCCCGCCGTGGGCAGCCCATGCACGTCAGGCCGGGTCCTTTATTTTGCCGTCACACAGAGGGACATTAGAACGGTGGAAAGTGCTGATGTTTGAGAAATGAAGGAAGGAGAGGCTGTTTCACTCATGAATTATATATGACCGGCCACTTTAAACAGCACAGCCTGTCAACACATAATAACACAGCATTGTGTTACGGCCAGAATTACAGAAGAGGCCGACGGAGAGAAACAGATGAAGATGGGTGAGTGGAGATTGAAATCTCATTTCTTGCACGCAGGGAGTAGTTCAAATAAATGATTTGACACCTCTGTCCCTGTTCATTACATTATTGGTATATTATGTTCTGTGAGTTCTAAGGTAAGTGTGCCACCATTGTGTGTGCATAGGTGATGGGAAGCTTATAAAGGAAAAGGATAACTCGCCCCAAAATGCTCTCTTTATTTTTTCTTCTGAAGGACATGCTTAAGAGGTGGTGTGCAGAATATTGCTCTGCTTACAGTATATCTGGGGTCTTTTCATTGTATTGAATGACATTAGTTCCCATTAGATTCACACAGTAATACCAGTAAATTGCAGTAAAATGACCAGAACTGCTTTACCGGTGAATTAAAAAATGTGATGTCGTGCACATGCAATTGCTTTTCTTTTTTTTTTCAGTAAAGATACATTCTGTGACATTATTTATAAGATATGATCTCTAAAGGGCTGTGCTTGTATTTGTAAAAATGAAGGGGGTCTGTTTGTTTGTTGGTGGTTACATTTTTATTTCAGACTTTCACAACCATGCAGGTGCTTTTGTCTTGTAGGAGAACTATAGGAGAAAATGTTGTCTCTGCCATTTAAAGCCAGCTTTAAGAGTCTTTAGTTTGGTTTTGGGGGTCACTTTAATTGTCTTATAATATGCTATTATTTTTACCTAATTATCCCAACGACTCCCATATGATTTGTTCAGCAATTTATTTGGTCCAAAATCTCTCCTTTGCATGAGGGTAATCTGCTGTGATTGGTCTGATGACCCAGTCTGTTGTGATTGGTCGACTGCGTTCAGCGTAAGACAGAGAGAAATGCCCACAACGGCTATGAAGTGGCAAAGCATGTGAGAGCCCAATGCAGGAGTGCATTAAAGCAATGCAGTTAAACACCAGCATATACTCTACTCTTAAACCTAACCCCAAGTTATAAAAATGACACACATTCAGTATTAATCCACAGTGGGAAAAGTTGAACTATTCAAAAAATTGACTGCGCAGCGCATGTGTAAGAACAACTGATGGTGGCCATAGCAATAGCCCATAAAGATTTAACCTAAGAAATGCATTACAAGCACTGATTTATCGTAGATAAGTGATTATAAGTCGCATGGAGCGATTAAAAGTTACAACAATTTTACTTACACTTGCATGTTATGATCCGGAGGAAGAAGAATCTGGTCCTTATGAACTGTAACAGTTACTGACAAAGTTTCTGTCAAAGTCTGACAAAGTCCCATTCATAATAGTATTTGCTGCTTCTTCCTTTAATAGTCAGCGGCTAGCAAATCCTACGTGGCAGCATTGGTTATTGCATCAAAAATCAGAAAAATGACAGGAACAAACACAGCACACGGTTGGCTATATTGTGGTATTGTTGTGAAAATTAACTTTAACCCTTTATTCCCCACAGCCGAATGTCCATCTGTCAGTGATTATCATCTTCATTTCATGATCAGTCCCGTGATCCCTGCGCTCCGCTATTGTCTGAAGAGAAAGGTGCGTTCATGTTTTGCCAGATGCGGTACTACATATTGTTGATGTACCATACCGACGTTGACATGTTCAGGCAAAAGATCCGAACCCAACACGATTCATTTATTCGACTCTGAGTTGACCATTTCACTAATGAGACAATGGTTTTAAACACTTTGCACTTTCAGATAACCCTCAGCTGCATTTTTTCATTCACTTAGTGCTTTGTTCTACACTGCATGGAAGGGCATTTTCAAAAACCCATAATAGGGGCTCTTTAAAAAAGTTATGCTTACACATACCGGTCTGTATGACATGCATAGTTCCTTACAAAATGGCAATTCTGTGAATACATGGAAAAGTGTTGAGAACAACTCTAATGAAGAGATGTGAATGCACACTTTTGCATGTTAGGAGATGCGTTGGAGTATGTCCTGCAGCTTGTGAGACCCTCTTTGGAACTCGCAACATTTTTTCATGAGTATTTTATTTTTTACTTTTTCCACAGTTGACAGTAAGAAAGAACATACTGTAGGAGTGCTGTCTAATTAAAAGCAGTAGCTAAATGTGTCTGGACAAAAGATTCAAATACTTTTTTTCCTTTAAAAAGTAAAAGAGTCATTGAAATCCGAATGTTCTTATTGGCTCGGCATAGACATCAGTGCATTCTCAAACTGCTTTCTCTGGGCAATAATAGCATGCCATTAATTACGCTAATTAAAAATACACTTGCTGCATATTTAAAAGTCTCTTCGTTCAAATAGACTTTATTTAAAAAGATTGGGTAATGTTAAATAATTACTTGTTAAAATTTCAAGTTCTCCAAGGCTGCAAGAATGCATTGAAGTCAGTCATATTATTCACATGTAAATAGGTGGTATAATGATATTCATATTTATAATGTAAAATTTATATGTACAGAAATCTTTTTTTCCAGGTTGTAACTAGTTTCGCCTGGATTTTGGTTTTGTAATCAAGAGCAAAAAACCTTTTATAAACGCTTTTGAAAAAGTGAGTGCATAATTAGCACCCATCACCCCACAACAGTGCTACACATGATTTGGCAGGGAATGAGTGTGCTTTTGGATGTGAGGGAAAGCTGATTTTGTTCAGCCATAGTTTATTTAACCCTTTAACATGTAAGTTTCTAATTCTTCAGCTGGAGGAAGAGAGTCATTGGCATCCGAATGTTCTCATTAGTAGACATCTCACATCAGCGCATTCTCAACTTGACCTTGCTTGTATCGCTAAATTTCCTTCTGTGTTTACAAACAGCAGAATTAAAGCAATTTGCTGGTTATGTTAAACAAAAATTTAACAGAGGCCTGTTCATGCATGATCACTTTACGGCAGCTTAATGATAGTTTTCTGTAAACATCTGTGTGTGCGAAAGAGGCTATTTAAGGTTTTATGGAAAACAGAGGGTTTTGCTCGGTTCAGGATCCACAAGATCGTCTTAATTTTTCCAAGATCCATTTAATGTAGGGAGTTGTGGATGATTTGTAAGCAACAATTCATGCAAGAAGTGATTGCTTTATCTTGTAAAGTGCGTCATAGTGAACCATATATTACACTGCATTTGGGCAGCTACACAGTGTCCCATTTTATCAAATTTGTTGACACTGACCAATAACAGTACAGATCATTTTTGGACACATCTTTTAAAGATGGTAAAACGCACCTGATGATATTTCCTGTCAGTGTATGCATTATTTGTTTATGCTTTTGCCTCTGGAAGTCATTCACTAGTTCCACCTTCTTAACAGCATTACACACATCATTAAAGACAGCAAGTGATAGATTTGTTGTGTAGTTTGACACCTTTCTTGTCCATGAGAAGAATTTTGGTTAAAATCCAAATCCAAAATCTGACACAGATATACCGAGGGTGATATACTGCACAAATAGACAATGCTGGGTAAATTACTGTACATCATTGATTAAAAATAAATTTTAAAATTGTAATGTATGTATTACATTTTACTCATTGCAGGTAATTTGTCAATGTATTCCATATTGATGAAAACAACAAGAAAGAATTGAAGAAGAAAGGATGTGAGTGAGTGAGTGAGTGAGTGAGTGAGTGAGTGAGTGAGTGAGTGAGTGAGTGAGTGAGTGAGTGAGTGAGTGAGTGAGCGAGCGAGCTAGCTAGCTAGATCTAGATTATGTTATCAGTTACTAGCCATCATTGCTTGCATTTCTATTTCCCCCTGGTTGAGATTTTGGAGTATTGTCTCTTGCTTGTACATTCACATGCTGCAGTGCTACATTGTCATCAAAGTGACCATTTGCATGTGTTTTAGGCTCTGTCAGATTAAATAAGACACACACACACACAAACACACACACACACACACACTCACACACACTCACACACAAACACACACACACACACACACACACACACACACACACACACACACACACACACACACACACACACACACACACAAAAGCCGCTAGTCACATAGAATTTTTTTTAAAGCTTAAAATGTCAGATACACACAAATAAAATGTCACATCGCCTGCGCTGACAAGTATTCACATAAACACATTTGTATCTTTGTTCTTTTTCTTTTCTGTCATGTTGCTTTTATTTTTATTCTCATTTTACAATTTACTTAAATTTTGTACTTTTTTTTGTAAAAATAAAAAACATGATATCAAAGCTGGTAGGCATTTTAAAGAGTCCCTATAATGTTTTTTTTTTTAAATTACCATCCATGCATTATGCATTATGTAACGCAGCTCTAAGTGAATGGAAACATCCAGCTGAGGGTTAAATCTGCACCATGTTTAAAACTATTGATTCTTTTGAGTCGACTTAGAATCAGATGAATGATTCGTCTTTTGTTCGGATCTTTTGCCTCAACGTGTCAACGTCAATACGGGACATTGTCAAATATGAAGTGTCAGATCCAGTAAAACGTGAACGTGCCTGCGAGGGATCATGAGATTATTCATGACGCGAAGATTACTATCACTGAGAGATAGCCAGACATGCAGCTGTGGGGAATAAAAGGTTAAAGTAAATTTTCACAACAATACCACAGTATAGCCAACAGTGTTCTGTGTTTGTTCCTGTCATTTTTCTGATGATTAATACAAAA